GACCTCAATGATCTCATCAAGAATGGAGAATATGTAGGGTACCAAAAAGGTTCCTTTGTCAAAGATGTCTTGACACGCATGAAATTTGACAGCTCCAAATTTAGGAGTTACAGCACATTGGAAGAGTATAATGATGCACTCTCAAGAGGTAGTAAAAATGGAGGTGTTGGTGCAATTGTTGATGAACTACCTTATCTCAGACTCTTGCTCAGCAAATACTGCAGGAAGTATATTATGGTTGGTCCGACATACAAGGCTGCCGGCTTTGGATTTGTAAGATTGTTGTACTTAACTGATGTTTCAGCAAGTGTTAACATTTGTTTTAGAGTGGTTAGTGGTTTACTCAATGATCTAATCTTTAATTTTCCCACAACTTGTTGCAGGCATTTCCAAAAGGATCTCCTTTGGTACCTGACGTCTCAAGAGCAGTCTTGAAGGTGATAGAGGGAGAGACTATGAATAACATAATCCAGAAATGGTTTGGGAATGAAACAAATTGTCTAAAGCAAGATGGAATGGCTATAGCATCTAGCCTCACACTCGATAGTTTTAAGGGCCTTTTCCTTATTGCTGGTGTATCAGCAGGCTCCGCTCTTCTCCTATCAGCAGGCTCCTCTCTTCTCCTATTCTTCCTCATCTTCCTTTATCAGAATAGAGAAATCTTAGTCACTGATGATTCAATAGGAAAAAAGCTTTGTGCAATAGCAAAAGTCTTTGATTTAAAGAGAGACGACTCTAATTCTATGTCAAAAAAGCCATCTGAAGGGAATGAAAGCCTAACGGCTACAGTGTTTGCAGAAAGTGATGCTTCTATTGAATTATCGCCCAACCTTCCTTTGCAAAGCCCAGAAATCGGAATCTCCGATGGCCTAGGAGAATCCCGTGCTTCTGAAGGGTTCTCTACAACAGAAACTGGAACCCCAGTTCATGAAACAATGTCAGGAACGATTGAAGAAAGATGACACATATAGCTGCTAACATAATTGTGACACACCTGAATAGGGCCCTGTAAGAGATTGTACAGAGATGAACTAGCTTTAGGGTTAGTTAAATCAGATTACACTATTTCTTTGTCACTCTTGGCCATAATATTAGCATCAAGAGGTGGCCTCCAGGATTCCATTAGATGGATTCAACCCTTACTTTTTCTTAGTTGTTTCTTTAGCAATTTTATGTTCACTTTGTATTTTTCATCACTACTTATGTTGTTGTTGTACTTATGTTTGGAATAATTTAAAGAAATACGTGTGGCATGAAAGAATTCAATACATGCATCCGTTTTCAAGAAATTCAAATGAGGTAGTTTTGTTATGTTACAATAACAGAACAAAATCAACACATAAGATGCTAAATTATTTTTTGATTACATAATTCTTATATAAAATATGAAATAATGGGGGTTATATGTGAATAACCACATGAGAGATTTGTGCAATGTTTTGATAACAAAGAGCAATCTGCAAATCCCAAATGCAATAAGAAAGAAAGATATAGTAGTAGTGAATTTATAATGCAGGTGCTAGAACTAGCCTAGAGGATAAGAACATAGTTACAGATCATAAATAAGGAAAGGTTTTAGGATCACTGCTACATGGAAGACAAACAGTAATATGTTCAGTTACACAGGGCGGATGGCGAATATAAGTATAAGATTTGCATTTTTGACACAGATCATAAAAGTATATGTGAAAAATCACTAAAATTTTAATTAATAATAGAATATCATGAACCCACCATAATTTCAAAGTATAACGGGCTCAATGATAAGAATCTAAAAATTGAACCCATCAAATCAAAATCTTATATCCCATCTGCTCCAACATATATCATAGGCAACTTCCCTAGCAGTTTCCTCTTGCACTAACAATAATAGTATCGATGAGCAAATCAAGGGAGGGAGAGTGTTCATCCGAACCCCCTCGACAAAATATACCTCATTCATCTATTGGGCTAAAAATACCCCTCCATCCATTTTTTTGGTCCATCTCTACCCTTAAAACTAACAACCACTTTTTTTAAAAAAAATATTATTATTATTTGTTACATGTCATTTTCCTATTGGATAAATTAAATCTCAACCCATTTAATTTTCCCCTACCCACCCATTGTAGTGAACATGACCCAAACCCAATTAGAAGACCCATTAAAAAATAAATTGATTGAATTTTTCTCCCCTAACCCCAAGCCTCTTTCTTCTTCCCTCTTTTCTTATTCAAAATATTTCTAGACTACTTTCAATCAAATGATACAATGTCCAATGCAATCTAGATAAGTGTATGATATGAAAATTTGTTGATGGTGTCTAGTTAGTATAATGTTCTTAATTATAATTACAATTATTGTTGGTATGATAGTGAAATTGTGTTTAGTTTGATTAATATTCTTACGTTTAAGGAGTTGGAATAATTCGTAAATTTCATTGTAACATATTCCATCGTTAATAAAGTAAATTTGAACCACTTTTATTTTCGTTTTTGGACCAGCTTTGGTGCTGTTTATCATCAAATTTTGGTCCAGTTTTTAATCTCATTATGGTGCACTTTCATTGCCTTTTGGCCTCTGTTTTTTTACAGTTTTGATTTAGTTTTTGGTATAATATAGGTGCAGGTTTGCTTCTGTTTTGTTATAGCTTAGATGCAATTTTGATAGATTTTGGTGTAGTTTTCTACGTGATGGAAAGAAGACTGCAAAAATCAATACTCCTTGAATCCTTCAACTTCAAGTTAGTATTGCAGCGGAAATTGTATTATTTGATTGAATATTATCTTGAAATTTTTGAATAAGAAAAGAGGGAAGACGAAAGAGGCTTGGGGTTAGGGGAGAAAGATTCAATCAATTTATTTTTTAATGGGTCTTCTAATTGGGTTTGATCATGTTCACTACAATGGGTGGGTAGGGGAAAATTAAATGGGTTGAGATAATTTATCCAATAAGAAAATGACATGTAACAAATAATAATAATAATAATTTTTTAAAAAAGTGGTTGTTAGTTTTAAGGGTAGAGATGGACCAAAAAGGTGGATAAATGGGTATTTTTAGCCCAATAGATGAATGAGGGGTATTTTTAGACCTATTCTAATAGTTCAAAGGTATTTTTAGTCCAATAGATGAATGATAGAACATGAGAATGTAAAGTTAATTAATTTTCAAAATACAGTTTAATTCATAAAAAAATTTAACTATTAATATGTAACTTTGTGATCTTCTTATTTTAATTTTTTTTTTATTGTTATTGTTAGAAGTTCTTAAGTTTTTGAAATTTCAGAAATTACTGCTATGATCTGGTCCGAATTCAAAATGCAAAAGTATTTGATTAGGATATAAACGACTTAGTAAAATTATTTTTCTCTCTCAATCTACTTTCTTTACCAACATATAAATTATCTAGATAAAAGAAAAGTGACGTGACACATTTTTTTGGCCAAGAATCATATTTAACTTCTTTTTTTCTCATTTTTTGATAATTTTTCTTATTTATATATATCTTATTGTTGTACAAAACTGAATATGTCAATTATATTCCTTCATTTATTTATATTTTTTAATAGAAAATTTTACTTGTCTTTATTTTCATGACTTTTGATGATCATAACTCCTAAATTATATTAATAATTATGTTCATAATATCATTTGATATTTAATTGTCTTTATTTTCCTTACTTTCATGACTGCTATGATCTGCTTCGAGCTCCGGCGACGACGGTTTGCTTCGGAAACGGCCATGGCTAACCACGATGCCACTCTCCTTCTTCTCTTTCCTCCATTAGTAGAGTCATCATACTCGTCTAAAAGTGCTCAGATCGGATCGATTTTTGTGTGTTTAGGTGCTGCTCGACAATGTCTTTGAAGTCACGTCACGCCACATCTCCCTCTCTTCCCTGTTGT